GTCCAACTTTGGCCCAGGCTTGTCCATGCACTTCTCCTGGTCAGGAGGACAAGATAAGAATCACAAAGGGAACTTGGGAAAAAAGGAAAGGGGATTAACTTCTTGTTGTTTAAAGGAAACACACCTAAAACAGTATCTGATGTGTTAATAATAGTTCACATTTGGCAGCAGCTTACTTTGTGGTGAGAAATTTTCTACAGCCTTACATCAAATTCTTATAACCCTACAGAATAGGTACTATTATTAATCCTCGCATTATAAAGAGGGGAACTGTGGCACAGAGATACTTTGCCTAACATCATAATACCATAAAATTGTGGAGCTGAGATTATTACAAAACTAGAAAAATGGTAAAATATAAGTTAATTAATCCTTCACTGAATTTGGTTATAATTCCACAATGCCAACTGTATTAAATGCCTTTAAATTTACTGCAGAATAAAAGGGTAAAAGGATAAATCATTGCAGCAAGACACCATAAAAAAACCTACCAGAGGGAAAAAAGGTCTATGACCTGAGATTCTGCAACCTTGTCTACTTAAGCCAGAGGTTCTTGAGTTCAATATGAATAGTAAATTGCATGAATTTTCCTAAAACTTACAGAGTCTTGGAGGAGTACTTAATCATACCCAACACTGGACCAAATATAATGAATCACATTTTTTTTAAAAGAATCAAAGCACTGCTCCAAGGCAGACAGGAGTTAGGTAAGCATTTGTCAAGGGTCAGAGTCCAACAATACCGCAAGCTTATGGGAAAAGGACTATGGAAACCGTTGACTGTATATAGTTCAAGTTAAGCAGTTCAAATGAATTTGGTCATTATTCTATGCTCTGTACACAAGCCTCAAAACCTCTGCTTCCGAAAAATTACCCTTGGCCTCTGAAGTCTATGGATTTTGTATGTCAGGGCTGGGCAGTTATGCTGTTGTTGGCAGCCAGAGAACAGTTTGATCCCAAGGCGCAAATGCCTTCACCCTTTTGCCAAAGTCCCCTCACAGGGCATATTCAATTCCTCAACCTTCAGACCCAAAACGGCTTGGTATTACACAACAATGCAAGAAAAGGGGCAAGTAAGTGTGGAGAGATTACACCACTTTTATAGTTAGTGGGCTAGAGTCATTCATTTCTCACAGAGGACGGTTAGAGAAACTGGATAATCAAGGTAAACCCTGGAACAGGACTCGAGGTTCCAAAAATAAGACCCCAGTATGGAGGGGCTGTCATCAGTCTTGCTGGCCTAAAGTGCTGGTTGGGACGGCGGCATAAGTCTTCTATGATCCCCGGTTCTTCGCACCAACAAAGCCTAGGTCCGGAGTGACAGTCCCCTAAAAAGCGGAGTCACTTTTTCTCCCATCCGGCTCGGCCCGTGGAATATAAGGAAACCAAGGGGTGCTGTCGGGTGCTCCCCCTCCCCGAATTCCGGACATCGCGGCGAGTCCCACGGGGCAAGGACAAGGGGAAAGTAGGTAAGGTGGCCAGGTCCCAGCCCCAGGCTCCTCACCCAACAAAGTTCCGTCATCTGGTGCACCAGCTGCTGGAAGCGCTGCTTCTGAGTCTCCACCTCGATGAAATGCTGCAGCTGCGGGTCCACTGAGCCCAAACCCGCCGCGGAGGAATTCGAAGAGGAATCCATCCCAGCCGGCCACGCGCGCCGAAACGAACTCCGCACCAACTCGCCGACCTTCACGTGTCTCCGCGACGGAACCGGAACCACAACCCGCCGCCTTGGGGACCGCCTCCCCCGTGAGCGCACTGTGCTCGCGCGAGCTCTCCTCGCGGGTCCCGCCCCCTGCAGGGCGTTCCTCCCGGCAACCCCAGCGCCCA